AGCTCCTCAGATTATGAATGTGATGTAATGCAGCTTCAGGTCTGACGGGCATTTTTTTGGCCACCACTAAATGAGCCTTTTCAGGTCAGATATGAAAACGAGTGAAGACGGAGTAAAACGCGGTATGCTGATGACTAGTATAACCTCGCTAATCTGATTTGTTCAGTGTGGTTGACTCTGGAGCCAGTGTGGGAAAATATTTCTGGAAGACCTGAGGGAGCCACACAGTCGCTCATTAAAATGACCTTGTGTGCAGTTTCACACATGCCATGCGTCCGGGTTTTTCAGAAAGCCTTATTTCATACGGTGAGTCACAGGGTTGATAGGTTAGCTCTGTGAGGGTCTGTGGGTCATTCCTCCTCAGCCATGAATAGGCTCATGACGACTTACGAGACACTACCTTTGACAGAGGTGAGTGAAACACGGCCCTGCACTCTGAATTTATTAACTGAGATCACTACTGGTGCGTTTGGGAGATTTAATGTGTTGTATATTGTTTCCAGCATATTTAAAAAAGACAATTTTAGGCTTTTCTTTGTTCGTAACTGTTCTGCCTGAGCCTCGCCAACTTAATTTGGAGCTTGTGTCCATTAGGTTTCCATTTCCTCTCACGGTGTGAAAGAAAAGCCCAGACTGTGGAGTTCCATCGTCGAGATGACGTCTCACATGGCACTGTGCAAACTCTGTGAGTGCAAAACAATCTGCTGTGAAGTCACTCTCATAAAAAACACTAACTGGGAAAATCCGGTATCTTCTTGTCATTTCTCCTCTATTTATAAAGTTCGCAGTAAAGGAAGGAAACTGGGACTTTGTGGTTACTTGGCAACCCCTTGGGGGATTTTTTATGAGCCACAGTTTGACTTCATCGGCTGAGTTAACATCTTTTCTGTCACCATCAGTTCCTCTGGTTCTGGTGGCGGCTGTGGTGCTCACTGTGAACGGGATAATAGGAGATCCCCTGTTTGAATGCCTCCAAGACACAGACTACAGCGAGCTTCTTGACATCGTGAAGAAAGGTCTTCCTGCTACAAAGACGCCTCGACACGTAGCAATCGTCGGCGGGGGCATCGCCGGACTGACAGCTGCCAAGTTTCTAGAAGATGCTGGACATAAGGTAATTTACAGTCAGGGAAAAACATTTAAACTACACTCTCTCTGGGAGTAATTTTCTGAGTCGTTACTGTTGGTACTAAAAGTGCATATGCTTTTCAAACTGTTATCGCTGTGTGTCCCCTTGGACACCAAAGGTGACCATAATCGAGGCCAGTAATCGTATCGGAGGACGTGTGGAGACCTTCAGGAACAGAAGAGAGGGCTGGTATGCAGAACTGGGGGCCATGAGGATCCCAAGCTTTCATAAGTGAGTAAAGAGACGCACATGCCATAGTGGGACTGTGACATTTTGGCAAATAGACACAAATAGACATAAATAGACACAAATAGACACAAATAGACACCCCCTTATTTAATCAAGGAAAATATCCTGTTGGAAGTAAGAACTGAATGATGCCAGAAGAAATGTACGAGCCTGTAGAGTTTTCTGTAGATTTCAGAACCCTTATTTCTGAGCCTCTAAGTAACGAGGAAGAGTCTAACAAAACACTAAAGATCTTCTAGCCAAATGGTTAAAATACCGTATATATTCATACAGGATAACTAATGTGCTTATGTCACAGGATTTTGCTTTCCTTTGCGTCCAAATTACAAATACCTATGAACCGCTTCATCCAAGATGACATCAACACCTACTACTTGGTAAATGGAGAGCTACATAAAACCTACACCGTTGAAAACAACCCCAGCGTGCTCAACTACAGCTTGTCTGACAGGGAGAGGGGGAAAACGGCCGCTCAGCTCTTCAGCCAGGCGCTGTGGAAGGTTTGTCCATGTGCTGCTTTGTTGCACATGTCAGTGTGAATCTTGTCTTGTAAATGTTGTGATTTTCACACAGGTGAGAGATGATGTGAAGGCAATCGGCTGTAGTGCCACATTGGATAAATATGACTCCTACACCGTGAAGGTAAAGGTTTAACCACCTTGACACT